TTATAATTTTCATGGGAGTTCATATTTTTCATTTTTCTTTTCAGGGCACTTTTACTGCCTTTTAAAGTAGTTTCAGCAAACCTCTCTCTGTGTATTTTCTCTGCCTGTCCCCTGAAGCTGTGTGTGCTAGAGGAGTTCTCAGAAAACTGTCCTTTTGTCTGTTTGTCCAACTGTCCATTTATGCATGTTGCGAAGTCTGTATTTGAGTGTGTGTTATTTGTAGCATGTACAGTGGTCGCAGTGTGATGTTCATTAAGCTAAGTTAAGTGGTGAAAAGTTGCCAAACCCACAGTCATGCATAAGTAATCAGCATCAGCAGCATTTCAACAGAAACTCTTTGCCTTAGTGTCCTGCCTCTTTCCTACTTCTCTTCTACTCAAATTTATAAAACCTGGTACAGGAACAGGCATTTGATATGCCTAAATCCTAGCTTATAAAAAAGGTTTCCTTTATGTCTATAGCTGTATTCTGCAGCTGAGAAAACTGTCTTTCTCCTATGAAGACTTAGTATTTTGTAATGCAAAAAGGAACACTCCACTATGGCTTTACTGTCACATCATCGGAAAGGAGTTGCATATAGTAAGTTGGCAAGCAAAACATTAATTTAATGCTATCCCACTAAAGACTAGACACAAGCTTGCATTGAAAGCAGGTGCATTTCACATTCAATTTACACTCTTTTAAACAAATACACAACTAAAGAAACAACATGCTGTATGTTGTGGCTGCTGCACAAAAATCTTGTACCTCCAAACAGTTCTCTAAAGGAGAAGGGAAAACATTATGTAAAATTATTTTGTTTCCAATAAGTTTTAGACCATTTTAATGGCATGTTCATCATGGAAATGGTAATACAATGTAAAGGATAACTAGAACTTTCAAATCATGCAAAAAAGTAATGCAAATTGTCAAAACTACAGATACAACATATACTCATACAGATACTAATTTTTAATAAATCCATCATTACAAAACCTTAAAAAGCTGACACATCTAAGCTTAGCTAATTTTGACATGTGTTTTGGAATGCAGCTTAAAGTAAACAACGTGCATTTGAACATTAATTCTGCAGATGTGGTTGCAGATGTGGTTTTATCTGTCTTCATTGCTCTTGAACTCTGTTTGGTTCAGGCGGTTCATTTATGGTTTGTTTTGTGGTCTGACTCATTCATGCATTGTGAAAATGAAGCTGTCCCAATCCACTTCATGTTTTGCTTAATGGTTAAGAACCTTGAGGTTTATCATATGCATAGCCACAGTCTTTCAGCACGTGTCAGGTGTTAGATGAGGATAAACACTAATCTCCTTATCTCCTTATCTCCTCAGTTTGACATGCTTGACTTAGCAGGTAACACTACTCACAACAGTGGCTGCCTTTGGGTTTGTGCAGCCTTTTAGGAGACAGAAGTACTGGTGTATTTAAACTATAAGCCATGATAACTCCTCAATAAGCCATGATATCTATGCTAAAAAGTCCCCTTTCAAGTATGTTTACATTGTGAACACAAAAAGCACTGGGGTCATTTGCTTCTAGTTCCCTTTCAAAATTATTGTTTAAAACTGAAGTATAATTGAAGCTAAAGTACAGTGATTTAGACTGAGCTGCTCATCCTGCATTACCAATCTCAAGCAGTATTACAGAGTATTTGGTGAGGTGCATACGGTTTGGGCGATAGGGCACACAAAAATCACACAAAAAAGAAAAATGCCAGCTTTAACTTCCTCACAGCTCTTAACCTTTCTTTTTTAACTTTACATTTAGCTTGAGAGCATGGAACCGAAAATAAAAGTTGTGCTTTAGTCTTGCTGCAGTAAAACAGCTGAGCTAAGGAGACTGGATTTTCCCCTTGAGCAGCTAACTTTAGACCTGGAACTTTTAGAAGTAGAGAATGTTCCTCTAATCTCCATCTACAGCCGGGAAACAGGTTCAGAAAGAAAGTGAAAAAAATTATATATTAAATAATATGCACACGTAATGTTTTATTCACATTTACTTTTGAAAAAATATAAATAGGCCTTTAAAAGCTGCTAAGCACCACTAGAATTAACTTCTCACTGCCACTGCTGCATGTGATTTACTGTGTGAGTACATTTTGCAAGATTTTCTGTACAGCTCAAGTGCCCCGGTGGTTAGTTAAATTATAAAAATTATAATACTACAAAGGCATCTATAGCTGACTCTGCTGTAATGATGGATGGGGGCCATATAATTGATAATCACAATTTTTTAAATTCTAAAATATTAGGCTAATTATTTTTAGATACGGCCCCAGGCCTAGCGCCTATGTCTCCAGGCGGTCTCTGCTGTGTCTCTCATTGGTTTCAGAAATGAACAGACTGTGCACTTTTTTTTTGTTTGTGTGTGTGTGTATGTGTTGTGTGTTTTGGATAACGCTGGTAACAGAGGTGTATATAGACAGCAGTCTGTGTGTGTGTTTGTGTGTGTGCGCCAAGTGGACATGGCACTGATGTTGCTGCTGACCAGTCTCAGTAGAAAACACAACATGAACCTCTGTTTGTGTTGTTTATGGCTGCCATGTAGGAACGATGAGGCCAAACGTGAAACGTTTCTGTGTGTGAGTGTGTTTTAAATTCCCTGTATGTACTTTCTGTCCAGGAAGGCTACAAGTTTACAGCACAGCTTCTGATTTATTGCACAGAAGCTTCCGGACTTCACCAACAGACCCGCTGAGAGCTAAAGCAGATGAACTGAGTGGCAGGGAGACAAAACACACACACACACACACACACACACACATATATCATTAAAGTCAGATAGTGACTTTAAAACGCTATGTTTTTCTTTGAGGGAAATGCTTTGCTTGCAGGAAGAGCAGTTTTATGCTAACTGCTCTGATAAGTGAGGGTCTAGACTGAAATTTTCCAGAGTGCTGTCCTGAATTTCTGAGGCCAGTGGTAACACACATGCATGCACTTGTCCACACGCACACTCACTCATACACTGTTTCCCCAAGTCAGTAGATGATTATATCCAGGTGGAGTTTGTTAGTCTCTGCTGTCTAAACATAGCTAATCTGTGCCACTGTCTCACAAAGGTCACTGGCAGCAGCCTTCTTTATGGAATTAGTTTTTCTCTTATATGGAGCTTAGAACCTTTTTTCAATAGGGGCATTGCCCAAAGTCTTCTGCCTAGTACTCTGCATCTTAAAGACACAGATTATGTGATTTACATTTACAGTTTCTCTGTTACTCCATTTCAAACTCTGTCCTATTTAATCTCAGTTATTGCCAGCAATAACAAATTCATGTCATTTTCCATTAATCGTTTCTAAGATTCCCACATTTGTGTTAATCAGAAGAGGAGATATTTTATCATTCGATTTTGGTAAAAGTTCTGGTTGTGCATAGTTTTGCTTGGTGGAAATAAAATCATCAATCAAAAGCATCTTGATCACCTGCTCATCTGTTCTTTCCAGTGTACTCACTGTATATGGGCTTGACTGAGCCTCACATCTGAGCTTGTGCCCCCATATTATGGGCTGAAACACTGAAATGCCGTATTGCTGTACCCATATATTATCTGTCTAGATGTGATTGGCAGCCACTGGACTGTTGTGGGTCAGTTATATTCATAAGCCTGATCATTGTGTACAATGCTGCATCTGAAGTGTTATTTAAGCTGACCATAATTATTTTCCACAGTTGGTAGCTTTCACAATTATTTGTTTATGTCACAGCAAACAGTATGTGAACTGGGTACATTTTCTTTACATGTAAATAAAAGGGAGCCAAAATGCAAAACAAAGCATGAAATGCAGGCTTAACAAAAAAGATAATAGTTATAACATCTGACTAATGCTATAACACCTTTAGAGGGCATAAGTGAGTAATGTTTGTTCGTTTATTTCAGCTTAAGCTGTGTCTGTCATCTAAATTTGGTAACCTGCTACTGACAACTGTTTGTTTGCTTCCTTTCATACCTTTAATCAGTATCCATAGTTTCACTCCTGGAAGCCCGCAGCTTTGCAAAGTTTATCATTTCCCTTTTGTAACAAATCTGATTCAGCTAATTACTGAGCCCTTAATGAGTCAAATCATTTTGTTAGAACAGAATGAGCACTGTCCACTCTTTAGAGAATCCCAGATTTCTGCTATGGTGACCCTGTTGAGAGAAGCTAGTCAGTTTCTAGAGTTAAGCCGAAGTAATTTTCAAGCTGACATCACTCCTAAACCTTGCAGTATAGTTTATAGTGTGCACAAAATAAACAGAGAGAGACTGTTGTATTGCCCATAATGACAGAGAGAGTGCAGCACATCTGTTGCCAATTTATTGAAGCAGAGGACCTGAGAGTAAACAACAATCTACAAGGACACAAGGATATGTGCATCTGCACACACACACATACACACAGGCCCATCATAATCAGAGTTAAAGCAAGCCAGCTTTGCCTAAATGAAACCTCTCGTCAATCCCACGGTAGACAGACAGACTTGATCTGATCACCCACTGATATACTTTCAGTTATGGAGGAATGATGCAGTTTTTCTTTAAGAAGAGTGTGAAAAACTACATTATACTTCAGAGGAAATAGAACTTTGAAAAGGACAGGCTTTGTTTTGAGTGTGCAAGGTTTTAAAGGGATTATTATTAGTGCCCTCAGCTAAAGCAGCAACAAGCAGCTTTTTCTAATCTGCAGAAACTCAAGACACTGGCAGAAACACTCAAGAATCTACATGAGTGTTCTTTTTTCTGAATTTTTTTTTTGCTTTGCATTATTGGCATTCTAAGGTTTGAAGCTATTGGACTTGTAGGCAAGTTATGTTGTTGTTCCAGTAGGTTTGCTTCAGTGATGTAATGTGGTCTTGCTTTATTAAACTCTTCATATGTCACGCGACTCTACAGGTCTGTCAGGATCTACTGCATCATCCGATGGGGTGGGATGCATGCATGTGCGGGTTTGTTTTTGTTTGAGTTGATGTGTTTAAATGTGGAAACGTGTTCATGAACGTGTTTTAACTTTCCTCACTGTGTATTGCAGGAGAAAGCAGACTCCAGCTCCACTTCTCTCCAGCTGCGCTCGGAGATCCAGGTGTGTGCACCTGTTAGTGTCTCACTCTTTCCCCTCAGAGCCACCATGTTCTGGTACACTGATTTCCAATGTGGTTCTCAGGGACCCCAGATGATCCACCTTTTTGCTCCAGCCCAATTTGCAATACATTGTGATAATGAAAAAATGCCGAGAACCCCTGCTTAAGCCTGTAAAGTCAGACTATTGAATTCTTCTGTAAATACTTAGCCTATTTGGTCTTTTTGCATGCACTGTATTGAATTGAGCAAATTCAAATTAACATGTGTTGTGGCATGTTTAAGTTACATTTGACTACAAACAAGGGGTGAAATATCATCATTTAATGCTTGGACAGCACTTATTGCCTAAATGAGTAAACTCAGCCCTGTTAATATTTTTAGTAACTGCAGTTTCTGTCCACAGGAGTCTCTGGGCTTCAGCAGTGAGGTGTCCACACCAGAAACGGAGAGGAAGTAGGTGCACCTCGTATCTATAACAAAATAATACTAGCTGTTTAAATGGTACACTTTTTACGTAATGTCAGTCACACTGCACACACTGTACAGAAACCCTACCCCCACAGAGAAACAGGAATATTATTAAGGTCATTTTTATAATACTCTTTTAGATATGTGCCATATATACTTTTAAAACAAGTCTCTGTGATTCTGAGGATTGTTTTCACCTTTAATTTCGCTTAAATTCGCTTGTAGTATCATTCATTTTTATCCATCTCGCATATTGTCACTGTCACAACAAAATCTCATATCTGTGAAATGGCAACTTCACAGGAGTCATTCAGAGTGGCTTGATGTGAAAGTGTTCATTGTAGAGAAACTTGGAGACTTAGATTTTTTTATAATGGTGCTGAGTCAATGCTACAAATCAAGCCATTTTAGTCATTTTATTTAGTATACAAAACAACCGGTGAACCTACATGTGTCTTTTGGGTTTTATATGTAATGGTAAGTCTGTCCATTGTTTAAGATCGTTTATTGTTGGAACTGTGTGTTAGAAGGCTCAGCAAAGCTTTATGTTACTGCAAAGGAGGATTATTTTATTTGACCTAAAAATCAAATTTTGCTGTGGAGCTGCAAGAGGGCAGTAAAAGAGCCGCATGTTGCCGACCCCTGTCTTAAACCATATCTCAGAGATCAGGCAGCATATTTATAACCATTTTGTGTTATAGCTCTCTGTGACAGAGCTTTCAGAGACATCTCTTCATACATCTGGTTCCTGTCACCATGACTGAACAATTCTGACTCAGTAAGTTTCTCTAGAATATAGCATTTCACATCAAACCACTCTGAATGATGACCAGTGGAATTCCTCTTTAATATAACAACATTTTATTAGTAAGTACTTTGGTTCCTGCCAACTGCCATTTCAAACGGAGTAAGTAAACAAAAACAGAAAAAAATGACAGTGACAGTGTAGATCCCTCAGAAACTTTTATAGCCATTATTCTTAATGTCAACACACATAAACATGCAGGGATGTACATGGGAATGACAGGTTGACTCTGAATTCCCTCTGTATGCCTGTGTATGGGTGCAAAAGAACATGTGTTGAGTGAATGTGCGAACACTTGCATTTGACTTACTCACATCTAACATTGTAGGTGCTTTCAGGCTTCCTTCCTTCCTCCTATTGTCCTTAAATGTTTAAGATTGAGCTGACTGATTAGAGACGAGGGGGAGAGAGGAGATACTTCTGCATGACTCAAGTGTAGAATGTAGAATGAGTGTACTAAACACAAGGAAATTAGTCAAACCCTTGGCTACAAAAGGTCAAAATTACCTCATGAATTATACTGAGCATTATTACATAATAGCTTCAAAACAAGAGCATTTTTGACTACTCGGTTGAAGTCATCTTGTCATTGCTGAATACCATAAAAAGAATTTTGAGAAGTTAATCAGTAACTACTATTGAACCAGTATGTAGGTGAGTTTGTTATGAGTAGGACTCGATATTGTTCATAAATTTTCAATACCTATACTTTTATCAGTACCTTGACTTCAGTATGATTCCTGAACAATACCTTATTTTAAGTTACAAACCAGAAGTGGGGGTGGGTTAAACAAGAAATTTTTATTAGATGCTTGAAGTGGGTATATTACTGGCCAGAGAAATCGAAAAGTGCCGATGTTAATAATGTGCATACGGAAAGTTCTTTAGATAGCCATTCACCAGTTTAGGTTTTGGGACAACCATGCTTATCGTATGGAATACAGAAATTAGGTATTAAATGACATCATTTTACGATAGTCTGTAGTATTGTAATTCAGTCAGTATCATAAAAGTACTGATGTTGTGAAAGTGAGTAATTGAAGTGTGGGCCCCACATACAGGCCCTGAGGTTTAAAGGTTTTAGCAGGGTTTAACAGATTATAGTTCAGATTGCATAATTCTCTTTACAGCTTAAATTAAAGTATGAATAGATTGCTACTAACATAGTTATTAAAAGTGGTGTTAAAATGTTTGAAAAGTGCTTAGGCAGGGCTGTAGGCCTTCTCTTTTCACTGTGCCTATGATGATGTGATATTCCCCTGAGGTTGGGAGCTCATGCGCAGGACACGTGCCAGGGGAGACATTTCATGCCACTGTCCTCAAGAAAGGTTTACAGACAAAACAAGCCTAATGTGAAACATATGGGCCTGACATATCTCTTTTACATGCCTCTACGGCCCACAGGGACATCACCCTCACTCATTCTGCTCTGGATGGAGTTCTGCTCTCTGTCTCATAGCCTTCATCAAAGCTTAATGACCTGCAAAGTTTAACCTGTCTAAGAATCAACCTTGTCAAAGAATCATAGCAAGTGCTTTAATGTAAGTGCCTGGTATTAGCAGCTACTAATAATAGCCACCACTGGTAACACTCTTCTTTACTGGATAAACGAGTCGCACTGATAGTATCCAGACTTCCTGTCCAAGCGACTACATGAAAGTGACCTCTACTCCCAAAGTTCTTTGCATCTTGGGTTTTTACAGGGGTGATGAAAGAATGAGAAAGTTTCCTATGTATACATGTGTAATTACACATTTTTTTCTTTAATGCTGAAAGGACCTTCCGCCCAACAGAGATCAGGATATATTTATTTGTTTGGTTCATAGTAATGGACCTGAGTGAATTCCATCCCTCTGTATGTGCTTCACTATAGCAGTGGTGTGTGTTGAATGAGACTAGTAAATGGTTTGGTAGCTGAAAAAGTGACCAAAAGTAAGTATCATGGGCGGAGGGGTGATTTCAAGGAAATCCCGCCACTTCCGTTAGCCATGACCTCTGTCGGAGGGCATTTTCTCACTCTTTCCTTTAGGCACCACTCACGTACGCATACAAAGCTGTGTATGTGTTCTGGCTACACCGGCCTGGTGTATGACAGTAAATCCCCCTGTCACAGGGACACTAGGTGCATTCTGTCGCATCAGCACTTTTGCCACAGGAAAGCAGAAATTAGCCCACTTCCTCCTCAGTGAAGCCATTTACTGTACGTTGTAGCTCATCATGCTGTGATTTCACAGATCAGTACTGCTCGGTACTGCTCAGTAGTGCTCATGGACTGTTAAGTGTAGTTACACAATAACTGAAGTTTGAGAGGACAATCTCCTGACAGAATTCACCCACTGTGTTTTTCTGAAGGTGCACTGCATTAACAAAGTGGGTTTATTTGAGACTCTTTAATTCTTTAGCACCAAAACTACTATGATAATGTCTTCAATCCTACAGCCTGTGATTGGCCTCTAGTGCTACTCTTTTGCACTGTATCAACATGAGCAAACTGGCTCTCCCTGTTCTTCTGATTAGCTACAATCACTTCTTTCCACTACACTAAAAAAATGCTTTTTGTTTGCCATGATTATCAATCTGTGAAGGACTGCAGCCCAAATTCCCCCTCCATTACAAAAAAAAGGGCCCAGTTTACCTTTGATCTCATTGGTTAGCTCACAAAAACAAACATGATGTCGGCTACTTGACCATTTCAAATTCAACTTTTTTCAACTCAGGATGCCCAGAGCACTCTGCACAATAGACAGCCTTACAAAAACAGCAAAACACGTATCTCCCATTAAACACAATAGAAAAAAGCATCACTTTACTGTAAAAAGCATCATTGTACTGTAAATGTGCATACAGTGTGACCCCCCCCCCAACAAAAGATCAATAAGAATGCTTAAACAGATTTATCAGCCAGTGCTGTCACTCATCACACATGCTGCATACACATTGGCACATTCATGCAGTGTGCTGAAACGTGGTGTGAATGTATGGATGGCTCTGTAAACAGTAGAGCTTCTGAATGGAGGCTAATTTATTGAGCTGCTTTTCAGTGGGGGCCCTTTGCATGGACGCAGCCTGCATACTACCACAAACCCCTTGCTTATCGTGTGTGTGTGTGTGCAGGCATTGTGTGAATGTAGAACAGAAAGAGAGAAAGCACGACTGAAGAGTGGGGCCTCATCAATTATCATATCATTATGTTGCCATGGCAGCACTGTTTTCATAGAAAGCATTAAAGCAGGGGTGCCCAAGACAGTCCTGGAGGGCTGAAGTCCAGTATTCCCTGCTCTAATGCGCTTATTAAATCTAGTAATTAGCTATGGACTTCAGTCAGGTGCATTAGAGCAGGAAAATCGAAATCTCCTGGTCTCTGGCCCTCCAGGAACAAATTTGGGCACTCTTGGTTTATGATATGAAGTTCTTAACTATTAAAATTAAATAAAAATGCTATTAATAAGGATTAGGATCGATTAAAATCTCAATTATTTTCTTTATTTATTTGATGTATACAGCCAAATCATAACCTTTCCACAATTAAGAAATTCAGAATTTTAAATAGGAATCTTTCTTTTTATTTTGTCCATGAATGGCCATGTTATGAACTGTAAGTTCATGGAGTGTATGCAAAATTTTTGTAAACATATTCCTTCATATAAACTTAGGCTCATTAAAAACAAACCCAAGCCTGATGTTGTGTGTGAAAACTCAAAACATGATATTTTGTCAGACCTCATCGTGCTCCTGTCAGTTGGCAGACCTGTACTGTGTCCCCAGCAATCGGTGACTGGTTGAGTAGAGAAGTTTGTCCTGTAGTATTGAGTACTGGGGTTAGGACAAAACCCAGAATGGAACTGAGCAAATGCTAAGAGCAAGATGCATACAGGAAAATGGAGAAGTTCAAGGACTGAGGCTGGTTCATTATAAGTATACATGACCTTCCTTCCTACAGTGCCAGCACACACGCACATACAGACATATAATTCAGCCCTTAGAGATTAGGATAATGGTTAGGCCTAAGACCAGGTCTGTACTTTAGTAAGTAGAGTAAGAGATTGTGCAGTTTTTTGTTTGTTTGGTTTTTTTTTGTGTGTGTGCGTGTGTGTGTGTGCGTGTGTGCGCGTGTGTGTGCGTATGTGTGTGTGCGTATGTGTGTGTGCGTATGTGTGTGTGTGCGTATGTGTGTGTGTGCGTATGTGTGTGTGCGTATGTGTGTGTGTGTGTGTGTCTGTGGTTGTGACTTTTAGCAGAGAGGATGTAGGAATGAATCCCATTGGAATTCCTAAATGTATGTGAGACATATGGCCAAGACATCACTACCACACACGTGCACACAGGTGGTAGGACAGAATATGTTGTACAGAGCGAAGATGGTAAAATGGTATTTTTCTCAACAGAGAATCAAAGCCTAGCAAAGCAGCAAGAGGGCGTGTTTGGGTTCGCGTGTGCACTTGCATGTGCACATTTACTTTACAGCACACTCAGCTAAAGATTGTTTTCTTGCTCTTAGGATGAGAGAAAATCCACCAACTTGCAAACCAAAATGCACACTTCAGAAGACATTTGTTGAACACACATGAAAGTGACTTTTCTTTCACAATTCACAGTACTCAGCAGGGTTTTGTTCTGTTTCAGCTCATGGGATGTTTCTTGCACTTGTTCCTATTGCACTCTTAGTTGTGGCGCACCTCTTTCTCACTGATAATTAAAGCACAATAGCATTAGCTGCACCCCATGACAAACTAGATGTCAAAGTTTCATTTAGACCTAAATATAACAGTCTTGTTTTTCTCTTTTAATGTGTGAGCTTGTTTAAGTCATAATCTCCCCCTCACTCTCTCTATCACTCTAAGCCTTTTAGTGGAGAATGTCCAACTTCCGAGACAGACTTAAAGAAAAATTCAAGGATGTTCAAGATGTTCAGGAACTTTGTGATATGCACAAACTGTTTGTCTCGTACAAAGAAATTCTTAGTTTCTGTGTTGTCGTTGATGCTGCGAAGATACATGTACATAAGCAAAATAGACAGAAGATAATGCAACAAGTAAGTTTAAGAAATAAAACAGACTTTTAAACATAAACATGAGACTAAAATGAAGAATGTAATAAAAACTTGGTGTACTCTTTTGCCTTATGACATTCTGCATGAATGGATTATTAAAAATGTGTAATCTGGAAACTATTGTTAAAACACTTCAGACATCGTTCCTATCACCACCACTGTGAACAACTGTAACTCGGTTTCTCTAGAACAGAGCATTTCACACCAAACCACTCTGGAAGTCTTTGTTTACATCTTAAACATTTAATTATGAATTATAAATGTGAAAAAAAATGTGTATGCGCTTCTTCCTGTAGGCACAAAAGGAAGCCTTTGCTACAGATTATGCACATATTTTTGGGTTTGGGTTCCCAGCTGGGAGTCTAGACAGCTTTGCGTTTGGATGAATGAGAGAGAGCGAGAGAGAAAGAACAGTCTTGCATGTTTTATGAAAATGAAGACAGTCTGATGTTTAGTTGGTCTAATACGGCTGGCGGGCCAGTGGGTTGCATGCCATTCAGTTTTTGCTGTCTTTGTGCAGTTTGAAAGACTGTGTCCTTAAACTTGAAGGTACGTGTAGTGTGTTAGAGGTCTCTGCCTGATTTTTCTGTTATGTTCCACGGGCACTATGCCCCTGAATTGCAGAGGTTGAATGTAAACAGGCAGTGTGTGTCTTGCTGTCTCCTCCTCATCGCCTTATGTACTCTCAGGATCGACATGCTGGTGCCTCGCGAGCCTCGGGAGCCTGCACTTTGTAGCCTGTGCAGGGCTGCACTGCCCCCTGGTGATCCATGTTATAGCTGCGAGTGCACATACACAGAGAGAAGATGCTGCACAGTTGAACAGAGTGTAGAAATACTCTGTCAGAAAACATTTGTTGTCTTAACTGAGGCCATGCCTAGCTAATAAGCCTAGCTAATAAATATTTTGTATCCCAGCTCCAGGATAGCTGTTTTCTATAGTTGTTCAGGCTTTGACTTATGCAGCCAAGTTTAAAACACTGTATACGCAGAAGCTAGTGCAGGACAAATTATTTGCACCCAGTGTGATAAGCATAACAAGGACAAATTCTCTTCATAAATTCCTAAAGCTTGCTCCAACATATTTTTGTCTTTTCTCAGGATCCCTTTGCACAAGTCCAACTCTGAGGATGGTTCAGGTGAGCACCAACAAACCTCTACAAAGCACTATAGCACTCATAGCTATTAGCCTTTTCTAATAATGTATTCCCCTTATATTTACTTAGAACAGTCAATGTAAACGCTGTTTCATGTAACCCCTTAAACTGGGTCCAAGTTTGGGTCAACACATCCACATACCTACATAGCTTACACATTGTGTTATAGTAGTTTTTGAATAATTCATGGTTGTAGTAAATTTTTACTATAAGAAAGATATTATTTTTGTTTTAATGAATTTAATGATTTGTGTATTTAATTGAATTTATCTGTGTAAAACTGTTCAAGATGTGTTTGCTAGCCATGTACTGGCTAATGATTTGGACTTGTACTCAAAATTTGTTGTGTGTTGTGTTTAATCATTCTTTTCATAAAATAATTAATATGTAGGGTCACTCAAAGACAAGGTTTACTAAATTGCAGAAAATATGTATTTTTGTAGTGACCATTCTTAAAGTTACACACCGATTTTCAGATTTTGGGACACATTTACCTCAAAAAATGGGATCTAGTAGCTCACCATTTGGCCATGAGGGACAGGGATACAGTCTCATTTCCTGCTCTAAAATGCATAGGTGTGGCAAAATATGGCTCCAACTATGGGCTAAAACTCTTTGCATTTCAGTAGTAACATGAAAATGTGGGACAGCATTTTTTATTTATTAATTTTTTTTATGAAACTCGTGATAAATCTAAATGTTTCAACTTCACTTTGAAAGAAATATAAAAATCTTAAAAAAGAAAAAAAAAGCACACATCTCTGAAGTTCAGTCTCCTCTCACAGGGAAGTGGGACAACAAGAAGAAAAACAAATCCTTCTGGCAGAACTTTAGAAAATCACCAAAAGGGGTCACACGGCAGACCTCCAAAGGTAAAGACGGAGCCATATCCAATCCACCACAACGTCATTGTCTCCCTTTTTCTCCTTGCTTCCTCTTTTCTGACTACTGTCTCTGTCACTGAAATAGTTCTTACTACATATACAAACTAGATATACAAACTATTACTGCCACTAGTACTATTATTGGCTTCAGTAGTGATATTGCCATGGCTTGCAATATATAAATAAGCCAACAAACAAATCATTGAATGTTTCACTGTGTGCTGTAAGTAACCTGATTAGATGAGTTATTGTGGGTGAATCAATGCGTTCACTTCATCCATTAAACATAAATAATTTTAGACAAAATAATGCAGGCTAGTGTTTAAACATGTCACATTAAAGCTAATATATGTCATATTTTGCAAGCCATATTGCAGTCTTATTATGTAGCAGTGTACTGTTAGTCTGGCAATTTGCCCATTTCATGCAACCCTAGTTCTGACACTTGTTTGACTCTTAATTCCCCCTGTAGGAGAGGACATCGGCTACGTGGCCAGTGAGATAACGATGAGTGATGAAGAGCGAATCCAACTAATGATGATGGTTAAAGAGAAGATGATCACTGTGGAGGAGGCGTTGGCTCGGGTAAAGGCATTAACCCCAGTCTGCCCTGGACCTGACCACTGCTGCATCATCACCTAGCTCTGTTCCTGTTTACTAACCCTACTTACCCAGACTAACAGTTACTGCATTACACCCACAACACACACATACCTCCTAACACAGCAGCTGGACGCTCTTATGGGGATCATGTTTGTGGTCAGCTTTTCTGTACTGTGGAAAAAGTCTCTGCAATTCATCATACAGAGTTAGCTGAAGTTAGCACTGGGTAGATTTTGCCTCTCCCTTATAACTGTATGTCTGGGTGAATAGGTGAGATTCAGCACTGAAGTCTCAGGATCCTTTCTCTTCAGGCCTGTCTCTCTCTCTCTCTCTCTGTCTCTGTCTCTGTCTCTTTCTCTGATGGCTCTCTAGAAGAGCGTGACCCACTGATACAAACCTAATAGAAGACTCTAGAACTTGATTTCCTTCTCTCCACAAGGCCAACATTGATTCTTCTTCTCCTCTATAGACTTCTCCTTCTGTTTGATTTTTCATCTCAATTGTGAACGGATCTCTACTCCCTTCCTGTAGTTTTGATTTGGCTCGATGGATTCTGAACACTGAATCAATGCTAAGCCTCTGTGGACGGTTGTGTTCATATGTGCTTGAGTAGACTAGTGTCTGTGTGTGTGTGTGTGTGTGTGTGTGTGTGTGTGTGTGTGTGTGTGTGTGTGTGTGTGTTTGTCTGATAACTGTTTACTGTTGTTTCCTTCATTTATGTTCTTAATTCTGAGTTTTGTTTTAAACTATTTGTGTGTTCAGGAAAGTGTGTATTTTAGGGCTGTCACTATAGATCATACGTCTTCTAATAGTTACTTTTATGATTATGACTTTGATTTATGATTCATTTTTTTATGGCAAAACAAAAACTACACTTAACTGAACAATAGCAAACTATTCTGTCTTTTAGAAATTCCACAATACTTTACTGTAAAAAGTTTAACTTCCTTGAAATTATATGCATATACAAAACACTGCACAGCAAAAAAAATGAAGTACTGTAATTAATATATACAGAACTGTGCAACAGTCAGAGACCGCTTTTTCCTTTATTAAATTTCTAGTCAAAAAGTCATTAACTACAAGTTATTCGTTTTTCAGGAGATGTTTCTGAGGAGATTAGATATTCCACTTGCATAAGCAAGGAGAAAATCAAAGGGAAAGAAGTGAAAAACAGGAGTTTCCAAAACTGGAGATGAAAAAATACTACAATTGAGACTCCTAACAAGCGTGCAAGACCTGTTGGACCTCCAAAACTCTCACCATTGGATAATCAGTACTTAAAGTTTTCATATTTGAGAGCACTTATGCTTTAGGCCTGAAAAAATCGTCCTATGCTTCTCTCCATCCTTACACTGAAAAAACAATTCAAGGCTATGGGTCTGAAAGAATGTTTAGCTGACAAAAAGCATTACTGAGAAAAGAAAATAGACAAAAAAGAAGAGAATTTGCAAAACATCCAAAGAAGCTGTTGGTGTTTGCAGAACAATGGACTGACCACCCCACAGCCCAGAGCTCAACATTGTGTTTGGGATTACTTGGATCATGAGAAACTTCTAAGACTGAACTTTGGAAGTGTTGAAGAAAACAGAAAGTCTCCTGAAAAGAATCTAAGTTATAAAAAAGGCAAATATACACAAAAATACACTAAATATGGAAAAAAGATATTATATTTAGTTGTTGAGGCTTCGGTTAATTATCTGTTAAATATATGTTTTCTAACTTGTACTCAGTGGGCATTTGTATATTTTTTTTTTCCTTTTTAAATTAGGTAATCAGGTTTAGGTAATCGTGATGGCCCTAGTGTGTTTTGAGCAAAAGTGAAAAAGAGAGTGCCCTGTGGTGTCGTATGTATGTTGTATTGTGTTATAAATTGGATTTAGGATTAGCAGCTGTGTGTGTGGGTGCGTATGTGTATGGGTGGGCTGCTCTCTCTGACCTGTTGTTCTCCATAGCTTAAGGAGTATGAGAGGAGCAGGCAGTTGAGCACCTGTTCAGACACTGCAGAGTGGACTGATGGATCCAGTCCCACAGTTAACCTGTCCTCCACCTGCAACGTAAGTACTGCAGCCAAGCAATGTGTGTGCTTGAATGTGTGAGAATGTATGTTGAGATTTGTCTGTGTTGTCTTTTACATACTGTAGTGTGTATATCTAACTTCATTCAGCCACACCCCCACAGTTATTACCTGCGATTACATATGCTAATCCAATTCCAGTCGTAAACGTGCAAGTATTTCTTGGTGACATGGTGATCAATCTGTGTGCTCTTCTCTTACTCTATGGAAGTTTGTGTTGTTCGTACTAGGACTGTACAATATGAACTAAATAGCATTCTGTGATTGTGTTGCTACATATTGTGCATGTGACATTGTGCTCAGTTTACTTTTTGCAGCCTTCGGTGATGGTAGTATTGCACAATAAACAATATATTATGCAGCAGTGGTTCATACGGTAAATTCTCAGGCTAGCAGATCCTTCCATCTGCAGTAACTGAATATATATTTAAATACATACTTCATACCGTGACCGATATAGCGCTCAACGTCCTAATTCTTGTCATCATTAACAGTTCATTTTAATCTCTGTTTGTATGATGAGTCATAGAAGGAGCTAATTACTTACATGTATACAGCTAAATAAACACATTGCTAAGCCATACATTGGATGTATGGGTTAAACTGATGTTCTCTGTGTCCCTGGCTGCTGATGTCTGCCTAAGCTGGCAACATTTACTGGCATGAAGTCTGTCCCTTGTTGAGGTCATGAGAGGCGTTTTATTAGGAGATGACGTACTGACGATACAGCTTTATTTGGACAATCGCTTTAACACATTACACTTATCTTGGCTTCAGTAACCATTACAAGGGGCTGCCCCTTGGCTTGGCTTACTGTGAGTATGTGTCTGTGTTTTCACTTTGTGTATTCATTTGGCTTGCAAGGCCAATCAATTGGCTTACTGATTACCACGACAATAGATTTTGTGTGTGCGCCTGATAGTTTTGAATGAGTTCCAGTGAGGATGTTAGTTACTATTCCAAAGTTTTTGGCCTTGTCCACTGATGCATGCTAAGGCCAAGGGAGAGTGCAGGCTGTAACACTGTAACTGCTAACTGCTGATTGTCAACATGGCATCCCTTCCCTCCCAGGCTCAAATGGTAGTTGCGTTGTCCTTGGATGTTAAGGGTGCACAGCGCTTGCTGACTACACTCAGAATTTTGGTCAGTGCTTCAACCAGAGCTCAAAGTGCAACAGCTTTGAGAAAGATACTCTAAGTTCACTGTAGACCTGAATGGTCTTGGTGGAAAAAGTCACACTGTTATATTGTAGTCACCGCGACCCAGAAGGATAAGCGGTTTAGATGATGGATGGATGGATGTTATATTGTAGTGTACTGTTGTTTACTGGCTCCTTATCAAAATGTCTGCATGAATTAGGATGTGAATTATGTAAATGACATGTACATTTTGGTAAACTGGCGCTTGATTTCACACACACATCTGATTCATCATTTTCATCAAATCTCGTTTTCACGTTGTCTGAAAGTTTCATGAATCAGACTCAGTAGTTTATACATTATTCAAGGTGGTAAAATCCTTGCTCTTTTTTTATGGAACTCTGTTGAATGAGGGCAGTATACCTTAGAGGTCTGAGAGAGTACAAAACAAAACGTGATTGTGTAAAATCTACTAAATAAAAGAAAAAATCATTATAAAATAACCCTGTGCATGAAGCTGTATGTGAAACATCGACACACGTCCCTAAACATGATGTTTTTTTGGGCCCTGTTGGACTCTCAGGTCAGGTAGCAGACTGTTACACCTTCCAATGTACTGAAAACACATTTGAGAACCCGTGATGTGATGAGGTTAAAGATGTGCCTGCATTATTTTTTAATCAAAATTCTCTGCCACTCATGTGAGTGTGTGATCATGTCAAAAAGGATTTGGTTTTATTTGGCTTACTGTTCTGACAGATGGGCTGACCTTACAGAATGAGAGAGAAAAAAGGAAGATCTTAAAAAGGGCTAAACACAGTGTCAGACAGTCTCATACTCATCCAGTCAGTGGAGAGGAAATGAAGCTCATAGATGTACAAAGAGTCTCTTTCCCTCTTTCTCTCTCACATGCACAGGTTATAGATATTGTGTTAGAGTCAGAGAACAGTGCAGTGTTTGGATCTGTGGCGCCTTGGCTAGCTCTCTGCTGTTTCTAAATGGAAATGATTGGGTCCCCGTATGCTAGCGGTTAAACTGATGGGCAGCACTCTTTAAAAAGAGTTTTCTCAGAGGGGATACCACTGTTTTCAGGTCAGCTCAACTCCAGCCTACACATAGAGGCAGCACTATGTTTCCAAGGGGCACCACTGCCATTAGATCAGCTCTCACCATAGTAACAAAGCCGTTCCTCATAGTCTGCATTCACTGATGTAGCGTCAGTTACAGCAGCAGCTGACACAGACAGCGCACTGTATTTGTACAGCACTGATCTGATCTTAGAGCAGCCTTTCTTCTTCCCATCTGACCCACATTCCTGCGCCTGTCCAAAGACCATTAAGGATGTGCACGGGTCATCTGGGACACCCCTCAAAGTTCCGGACGCATGAACCCGCCTTTGCCAAAGCCCCCTTGTATGTGCTCGTACCCATTTACAAACGTGTCTACTGTCTGCAGCGCATGTCTGTGGGTGTAAGTTAATTTGGGCTTTGTCAGTGGTGTGTGCATGCATGGACCACAGCTTTGGATATGATGAAGCTTCTGCTGGTAAGATTGGATCAAATTAATCAACCCCTCTTTCTCTTGAGACACTCTGTCTCCTTCTCTCTGTCTTTCTTTCTTCATTTCTCCTTTATGTCTTTCTCTCATTGAAATGTGGCTTGGAGACTTTGTGCTGACTCCTGGAGTTTGAAGCATATAAATGGACAAATCTGCATGTTGCATAGTTGTGGAAACATTTGCATGTAGACTGAAAGGCAGACTGTAGTTAGTGGTTTAGATTTGGGCCAATAGCCTTATTATACCACTGTCAGACAGAGATTTGTGCTGTATGTGTTGCCTGTGTGTGTGGCGTTGTGCAGAATGTGTGCATTTTCAGCCCAAGTGCAGTTTTATTTGAACTTTACTATGCAGATTATCTCCTATTCACTTGGATTATTTCACACAAAGGGCTACAACAAACCTTTCATTCTTCTCTTCATTTGCAATACTAATAAGTGTCTGTATAACTGTCTTCTGTATCTTCTGTTGCTTCTTATCTGTGAGAAAATGAGCGTGTTTGTATGGATGGATGTTCTGCTGTAAGTGTTCTTCTCTGCTCCATTACTAGATATTTTAGAACACTTACTGTGAACATGAATGCTGTGGATTAATTTGTTCTCTGGCATTGCAAACTAACTGTGCATGCCATCAGCCAGATGTTTGTGTGTATGTGGTTTGTGGCACTGAATTTGGGCAGAGGGAAGTGTATTGATCTCATGTTATTGTGGTCAGTAGCTGAGGGGCTGTTGTAAAGAAAATAACAGTGCTTGGTCATTGGTTGCTGTGTTGACAGTGAAATGGCGTTTTGAACAGGCCCTTCTGTCAAATTTGTTCATGGTATACCAACATGATTTATGTATATATTTACTGATTAATGAGTTCATTAATTATCTTTTTTTTAATTGCAGTGTATGTTAGGCTTCTTATTATTTCTAACTTCCTTGGCTGATGTATACAACAGTGTTCCATTTGTGAGACACTCAAAGCCACTCTAAATAAGAGGCCAGTGGGTTTTTTGGACAGTAGAGAACTGGCTAACTACAGCAGATGGGTTATGGTGGTTTTAAGAAGCCACAACTCGGCTTCTTGTATTTATAAGCTTGTAATATTGCAGAGATGGTATGTGCCTGTTGAATTGTTCATGAGTGACTTTCTAACACACAACCTTTTCATAAGCTTACTTAACTAACGGTAACAGCCCATCCTACACAAACACCCCATAATGCCATCCGTACCATTGCAACATTGCTCTTGTGTGCGTTTTATGTAACAGTAGACTGTTTCGCCAGAACAAGCAGCCATTTGAAAGACAGAGTTCATGGAGTTCATGATCTACATGATGTATAACTGCTGTCCCCTTGCTCTCTCTCTGTAGTCTCGTGAACAGTCCGATGATGAGCAGGAAGACTCTGTGAAGTTTAAAAGGCTTCACAAACTGGTCAACTCCACTCGGCGCGTCCGCAAGAAACTTATCAAAGTAGACGATGGCAAAAGACACGGTTCAGAAGGTATGAATGGTGTTCAAGATGTTCATCTCCACTTATTTATAACAAGCAAGCATGTTTCTTGATTATTAAGCAAGTTCATCATCATGAGTTGTTAGGTGAGCATATGTCCCGTTGATATGTCCCGTTCTGATCCTGGAGTAACCCCATCCTCCATATTGTCGCTGTCGGAACAAAACCTCTTATCTCTATTTTTGTAGTTTTTGAAAGAGTTTCAAAACACCAGCTGCCCTTTGCATTGTGTGAAAATTTCATGACTATTGGATCAATTGAAATGATTCAAAATGATTCGTAATTGAATATTTTTAACTGAAACTGAAGAGGGTTTTTTTCCCCTTCTCTTAAAAATGACCATTTTCACAACACAGAGACTTGTTCAAACAGCAACAGTATCTCTAATACACCTGATCACCTAATTATCATATCCTTTGTGGGTTTAATTTAAAGCGTTAATGCAGGGAAGACTAAAATGTGCAGAGCAGGCTTACTGCAGTATTGAGAATTTACATGGAACGTTTTGCTCTACAATAAAAAAAAATGCCAAAAACATCAATTTTCTTGACAAAATATGACATCACTAATTCATGAATTGTTCTTATCTTCTTACATCTACAAGACTCTCTGAGCCTTGAAGCCTCCCTCTTCATGTGAGGATGCTAGTGCACTTTATGCTGGAGTCCATAAGAAGCCCACCCGTTGCACGGACTCTTCACTGTCCTCTCTGGCCCATGAGCAGCTGTCTCTGGATGGCGACACGGACAGTCTGACCACCTCACCCTCCTCCAGCAGTTTGGAAGCCTGGAGCTCAGCACACAAGCTGGTGAAGACATCCAGCAGTGGCAGCGGCCACCCACACGGCTTGATCCGACCTTCTCCTCGCAAGAGTAGTGCTGGCTCCTCCTTCTCTGAGCTGGAGGGCCTGGGGGACGACGAGGCCAAGGTATCACGCTCGGCCACAGATGGAGAAATGCGGAAGGCGCTCTCTTCTTTGTCCCACGGGGTAAGTACCGACAGCGTTTATGCCTATTATGGCCTGACTCGTCCCCGTCCACAGCACCACCTGCTGGTGTCTCTGGATGAATTTGGCAGCACCAAGCGTCCACCTATTTCCACCTGGCAGCGCAGCAAGCCTGATCCAAACTACGCCTACTCTACTAAACACCTGCTGTACCAGCGTTCTCGCAGCACCCAGAAGCCCTCCAGCCCTCCCCCAGCTTTGCCCTCGTCCTCCCCGGTCCGGGAGAAAGGAAAAGGCCTTGGGGGTGCTGGGGGTGGTGGCTGGCTCTTTCCCCCCAGGCGTCTGCGAGGCAGGACTGCTGTCAGTGAGCTAAACATCACCTATGTAGTGGAACGCAGCCTCTATGGCCACCTGAACTGGACCGGCCTGGTGCGTCCCGTTGCACTTGGCAAGGCAGAGAGGCGTTGCCTCCTGGACGACGAGAGGGACGCAGACAGGAAGTGGGCGTCCAGTGTGGACCGCTGCACTAAGCGCGTCCTCTTGCGCATCCAGCAGAAGTCCGTGAGTGACCAAGGACAGGCCGTCAGGTCACAGTGCCCTCTTCTGGATTGGAGGAGTAGATTACTGCTGGGCTACTGAACAGAACTGCAGGCAGGGTTAGGAAAGGATCAGAAACAGCTGTACATTTTTAAGCTTTTATCAAGGCCTTAAAGATATGGAGTCTTGTATCTGTTTAGTCTCAAATGGGATGAAACTCATTTGATTCTATGTTGTCACCTAGCTTAAGGTAGCTTAGTCAAACACACAGACTGCAGGCTGAAATAATAAAACCTAAAACTCTCTTGTATATAATCTGATCTTTTCAGATTTGTTTTCTGATTCTGTAAAAACCTCTACCACAGACCTGCTGAGACCTCCTCAAATCTGTTTGATGTGATTTGGGGTTCTGATGAAATCTCCTTGCCTTCAGAGAGGCTTATCAGCAGCCAAGGCGTTTTCAGAGTTTCTGAAAATGCCATGCAGTCTGAAACTCTGATCCCAGACTGATCAAGTAGAAGAGAGTCAGGGGGATGAAGGAAGAATGAAAGAGTGTGAAGAAAAAGTGAGAAATCTCAGCAGAGCCAGGCTCTTGCCCTCTTATCCCTCCAATTATTGACTCCCTGTTTTTCTCTTTCTCCTGCTCAGTGGACTGTGGTAGGATTGCTTTCTGATGAAGGCTGAAATTGAGGGACACTTGTTTCTCATTATACAGTAGATAAAACAGAATCTAACCACTCCCTTAGATTTCAGACCAAGACAACCTGTACCTATTGAAGAACTCTGCTTTCATAGTGGCTTAGGGTACCAATGTTCCTAATGTTACTAGCACAATACCTATTTTAGGAATCATTTTCTGAAGCTCTATCTAATGGCAGTTCATGTAGCCTTGCAGTATCTGGATCCTCTGGCCATGACAATGTCATTCATAGTGAGCGTGAATATGAAATTCATTCATAGATTGCATCCATGCTGCTCGTCAGGCTCATTTTCTTTGTTTGGAATTAGTTTTCAGTGATTTATTGTGGGTTTTGTTTAGTTTTTATGTGCATATTTCATTTTTCCTTCTTTTGAAGACAATATCTTGTCAGTTTATTCTGTGTTTGCATGGTGTGACACCTTTTCATCAAATGACCAATGATTGATATACATCAAGAATTGTTTTGGATGTTGCTTCTTGGTTCCTCTCTCATCATCCTAGTGTTTTTTCTCTCTTTTTTTCTCCTTCTGAGACAGCTCAGGAGCAGAGAATTTTTTTTTCACCATTCTGAATGCTGCTGTTACATTGTGTACATGACAGTTGAGTCATGCTCATACTGAATGACTTTGTTTTGTATATGTGGTAATCTACTCATTAGACATTCAGTGCCTTTTTCCCAAAAAAACCCCCAAAAAAACACACCACTAAGATTTTTAAAATAATTACAAATTTCAGCACTTTTTGACTACAGTGCTTTTGTAAATCCCTCACGTTTTTCAGTTTGTAAAATTTTGGGAAAGTGGACTGAGATTAGTTTTTCATGCGCTTATTTTAAGTTGTTAAAACTATCATGTTTGGTTGTTCAGTAACTCATTACTCTGTATTCCCCTTCTGAGATAGGAGCATGGATCATTGTAGCTTGGTTTGGTTAATCAGTTTATATTGACTCTTGGTGAAGCAGTATCATTTGACTTCTCAGCGTTTTGACCAGTTCAATTCTCATTTTGTGTGTTTGATTCTTGCAGAGGACGTGTAGTTTTGGGGGTTTTGATCTGTCCAACAGATCACTCCATGTGGTCAACACAACCTCTGAACCCAATGTAAGAAAACACTCAGTTGCACTTACCTTTTTTTTCCCACATGCTGTTTTAATAATGACTGACATGTTAAATAGTTAATAGACGTGGCATTATTGTGTTTTCTTTCTTTAGAATAAGGAGCAAGAGGCTTTATACAGAGATGGGGTGAAGTCTCCTACCACCTCTCGCATCTCTCTGGGAAAGAAAGTCAAGTCTGTCAAAGAGACGATGAGAAAACGCATATCCAAGAAATACAGTGGATCCCTCTCTGAACAGGTACATACACTCTCTCTCTGCTACCTACTACCTACCTCTGTGTGTGTGTGTGTGTGTGTGTGTGTGTGTGTGTGTGTGTGTGTATATATATATATATATATATATATATATATATATATATATATACATACATATACACACACACACACACACACACACACACACACACACACACTATTCTCAGTCCAGCAGTGACACTGAGGTGTTTAAAAACTCCAGCAACACTGCTGTGTCTGATCCACTCAGACCAGCTCAACACACACTAACACACCACCACCACATCAGTGTTATTGCAGTGCTGAGAATGATCCACCACACACATAGTATCTGCTCTGTGAGGGTCCATGGGGTCCTGACCACTGAAGAACAGGGTAAAAGGGGGCTAACAAAGTATGCAGAGAAACAGATGGACTACAGTCTGTAATTGTAGGACTACAAAATACTCCTATATAGTAAGTGGAGCTGATAAAATGGACAATGAGCGTAGAAACAAGGAGGTGGTCATAATGTTATGCCTGATCGGTGTATATGGGATCTCATAAGTAATATAAATTTTATTCTCTACTTCACTCTCCCTCATAATGGAATCTCATAATTCCAGTAATATAAAGTATAACACAGACAATTTAGTAATAGGTTCCAACCCATACTCAAGGGGGTCTTTAGCACACAGACCCAATTTCCTTCTCCCACACTGGAGCTGTCACCTCCACCCCCTTATACAGCCTGAGACTGAAGCCAAGTTTGGGCTCTGTCAACCTCAAAACCTCCACCCTGGTGCTGTAAGATCCAAAACACACACACATTCAGCTCTTCTGTTCTCTGCTCTTTTTATTTTTACTCTTCTTAAGTGTTAGAGGGGTAAGGAGAGTTATGCTTTATCATTTGTATTAAGGAATAAAATTATATCTTGCCTTGATTTCAACCATATTCTCACTATATATTGCATCTTTCAATGTGTGGTGGGTCTGTGGTCATGCACTGAACTGAGCTCATTGTCCAGTGAAAACTGTCCCAAGCATTTGTTAAAAAGGCTTTCACAGTGTTAGACTGCCATCTAATGACAGTCAGCTTTATTTCAGCACTCCTCGCTCTCTAGATTTATGCTCCCACAAACCTTTAATTTAAGACTTAAAATAAATGAAGTTTGTGGAAGCAGTTGCCAGTGGGTAGTTTATTTTTGATGGTGATTGCTTTTTGAGTTCACACAGTCTTCTTGGATGTGGAAGTGACAGCCTTTAATGCACTCTCGTCTCTTGAGCTCACTTGGTCTCTTTTCTGAAGTGTCCTATATGATTTTTCCTCGAGGTCTACAGTAATCTAATCAACTGTGGAACCTGTGCAATTCCGGGAATCTATTCTGGTTTCTAATTTAAAAGATGAAAATATTATAGTTTTAGATTTAATCCACCTTTGAGGTTAAGATATATTTTAAGATGATCCCCGATCCTCAAGTTTAAAATACATTCAGGATTACAGAATATCTGAAATAATACACCAGTGTACTCAGAAGCAGATAGTTTATAAAATGAGGAAGCAGATGTGGTTTCAATGTTTCATCCTTTAGTGTAAACCAATTTGCTTAACTTAGTGGCAGGAGTTATTTCTTGATTCAGTGTTGTTAACTGCTTACTTTGTGTGCAGTCCAGTCCAGACGGAACTCCTAGCTCCCCTCAGTCTCCTCAGCCAGACACAGACTCTCTGGAGAAGCCCAAACTGAAGGCAGGAGGCTCAGTTGAAAGCCTGCGCAGCTCCCTCAGTGGACAGAGCTCCATGAGTAAGTGTGTTTGTGTGTGTAAGCAAGTATGTGTGTTCAGAGAGCTGATACCTTTTGACTGACTTTCATCCTGTGCTGTGAGGTTGCTTGGAAAAGCCTACCTTGGGTTCTTCAGAACAGTTAACGCTAGAGGGCACTGTTGCCCACCATAAGCCTTGTGTGAGAGCCCCCACAATGGACTTATCAAATGTATCACATTGCAGTGTATGTTAATGTGAGCTATGCACTAGCTTTGTTAAACTGTCCCATAAATCATTAATATTTTCATTTCTTCCCACAGGTGGTCAGACGGTGAGCACGACGGACTCGTCTGCCAGTAACCGAGAGAGTGTGAAATCGGAGGATGGTGATGATGAAGAGCCGCCGTACAGAGGCCCTTTCTGCGGCAGAGCCAGAGTACACACTGACTTCACTCCCAGCCCTTATGATACAGACTCGCTAAAACTGAAGGTAAGAAATCTGCCTTGTTAATGAAGACTCACTCAAACTAAACAAACTGAGTACATGAAGGGTCTCACTCCAAAACACATTACAGATCACTTTCAAGAACGAAAGAATTTTCTTTATTTTTCAGGATATATGCTGGAGTGGGCTTTAGATATACAAGACATATTGGTGTTATATGATTAATAGCACCTTTATTAGAGAGGTATAAACATGTTTCCATTATTCTTTTCAAAAACAAATTATTTCCCAAATTGTTACAAATGGATACACAGCATTTTGGAATTAAACTCCTTATATACAATCAAACATACACACAGTTTCATATTCAGCTATTAAGATACTGATTCAAATTGAAAGTACAAACCACACTCTCATATTCTTCATATTAGGGCCCGACCGATATGAAACACTTGTGGCCAATACAGATTTATAATGTGCTAAAAATTGCTAACTGTTAATATCAGGGAACATTTTTTTATATTTTAAAACATTAGAATATAAAATTAGTTTGTTAAACGGTATTTAAATGATTGACATGATTGTCAGTTCTCAAGTGTCATTTTTTTTTAAAAACAGAACCTCTTAAATAATATAAATACTACAGCATTCAGGGTGCAGCTCTGCTGTGTTGGTTTCTCATAATTGCTTTCTATTCTCCCTATTTTTTTAATAGTTCTCTTCCTAAAAGTGTAGTTTGTGTTATAGTGCTGAAAATTGGATGTGCTTTCACATTGGCACAACATTCTATTAATGACACAGCACCCCAAAAAGTCTCAAATTGTCAGTGTGTTATGGCTGATATTTTTTTTCAAATACTGATAAAACCACCAGTCATTAATAGTGGCTGATATTATCGGCCAAGTGATTATAACGGCAAAGCCATAAGTCACATCTGGCTCGACCACACAAACACACCATCTTCACACCAAGCCACTATTACTCCAGCTCATACACTGTGCAATTCCACACTATCGCTCTCACCACTCGGCTGTGTTCCCTCAGAGAGGAGATGTGATAGACATCATCAGTAAGCCCCCCATGGGCACGTGGATGGGGCTGCTGAACAACAAGGTGGGAACGTTCAAGTTCATCTATGTGGATGTACTGGCAGAAGAAGAGGAGAAGCCCAAACGCACAGTGAGGCGGAGAAGGAAGGGAAGACCCCCCAAACCCAGCTCTGTAGAAGAACTGCTGGAAAGAATCAACTTGAAGGTGAGAAAGGGATGCACACCCACACTAGGGCCTTTACAATAGGAAGACTTTGACTAAGAATCAATTTAAGGAGGGAAAAATTCCAATAATCATTTTTAGATTTCTTAAACTAATGTAAACAATAGAAATTCACAAAGTCTTAAAGAACAAAAATATTGTAGTGCTGTGGGGCAGCGCTTCCCACAAATCTTAGAAGTTAAGTTCTGTTAACTAGCTTTCTGTTAGGTTTGTGGGTGGTAGGGATGCACAAATATACTGAAAAGTGTCAGCAGATATTGCATAAAAAATATCATTAGACAGATATTTAGATTTAACTAATATTGCAAACTGATAATGACATTTATTGTACTCCCAAAGAGCAGAACTTTTAAACAATGTTGTGCTAAAATGTTTGTATTTTATTTGTTTTGTTGCAATTCTACCTCTGTACCAGGGGTCAGCAACCCATATATAAAGAAGAGCCATCATGTCCTTTTTTTGTGCCACAACTTTTTGTCTATTTTGCCATACTGGCTGTAAATATGTCTTAGTACGTGTAAATGTACTAGTATAGGCTAAAAACGAAAATGCAGACTTAGTTTGCTCTGCTTTAAGCTTTAGCTCAGCTACAGATGCTTTTCTCACATCTCTGGCAGGAAACTTTTCAGCTAAAGTGGAATAGTTACTTGAAAATGTCTAACTTCTGACTTTTCACAAGGCTGTAGTCAGCTTCTCTTTTGCCAGCTTCTTGTTCAAATTTACCTGTTTCACCTGGTACCTGAGGCACCAGAATGTAACTGCTACACCATTTAAGGTGGAACAGGAAAAAGAAACTGGCAAACGAGAAGCCAACTTCAGCTTTGTGACTTTAGTGTTTGACAGTTTGTCGTTGCAGATTAAACATATCAGGAAACCAGCTGGAGTGCTTATAAATGCAAATAAATCCGTTTGACAAATCCTCAATGTTAGTCTTAAATCTTTCTCTTTGCCTTTTTATTAACTATTAGCTGTGTGACCACCTGTCTGTGCGCCAATCTTCGGGGTAAATGAAAAGGTGATTAGCAGTTATACGTTAACTCCAGCGTTTATAACTGTTTATTGTTAAAACTGTGCTAGAATGATCAGCAGAGCCTTATTTTACCGCAAAGGAGGATTATTTTATTTTATACCTAAAAATCTAATTCTGCTGTGGAACTGCCACAGGGCAGTAAAAGCCGTGTGTTGTCGACCCCTGACCTACACAAATAAGTGTTGCGTTCCTTCCTAATGCTAATTCAGGTAGAATTGTCGGCCAACAATTCCCAGATCAGTGCAGACATTAATACATTCAAACGTTTTTTACCCAGCCCATTCTTATGTTCACTTACACATAAGCAAAACACATGACTACTCACGAGACAACTTCTGTCTCACTAGCAGACTAGTAGTGTTAAGTCTAGTAGTCTATGCTTCTTATCATTTTCCCAAAAGCCATAATGACAGAACAGGAGAGAGAGCGAGGTAGAGAAAGCTGATCTCCATCAGCTTTCTCTGAAAACAGAGGTGGTCCATGTTGTAATGAAAGACTCAGACTCTCCCAGACTGTTTTCTCCCACATGGAAGTGAAGGTCAAGTTCAACCATACATATAATAGTTTTATTACAGCCCAAAGAGAGCGATCCACCCTTTAGACCTTTTCTGTGTGGTAGAGTAATGACTGTGGGATGGGTGGGTGTGTGTGTCCAACAGATACTCAAGCTGGATAAACATATACATTGTTATTTTGAGTCTGTGAGTGAGACCAAATATAGTTTGTCTGGGAGAACAGCAGTACACCCACACATTTGCACAGAGGACATACAAAGTGGTACATTACACATCAATTGTGATTTGCCATGTTTGATGTTTAATTGCATGTTTTATGTGTTGATTTTATGTGTCTGTATAATGGCAGATTTGGTGTGGCTGAGCGTATAAAGAAAGGAAAAACATGCAGCATAGCTGCGCTGTCTCTGAGGGTGTGATGGGTTTTCACCCTTAGTGTGCTATTGTGTAGTGTAGACAAAGAACATCCAGAGTTTTCACTGCTGAAAAGTGTGTGTGTATGTTTCAGGAGCACATGCCTACATTTTTGTTTAATGGCTATGAGGACTTAGACACCTTTAAGCTACTTGAAGAGGAGGATCTGGATGAGCTCAACATCCGTGACCCTCAACACAGAGCTGTCCTGCTCACTGCTGTAGAGCTACTGCAGGAGTACGACAGTGAGTACACAAACACTTTCTCTTTCTCTCTCTCTGCTCACCCACACACATTTTTACTCAACAAATAACTCACAGGCACAAAGCTCCGACAGAACTGATGCTATGCTGAGTTTGTGCTTTTGTCTAAATTGCCTAATGCATTTGAATATCACACCCTTTACACACCATATTATAGTCCTTTTACACACCACATGATAGCTGGGACAAAACTCTGCTGCAAAAGTCTTTGCAAACTCTATGCAAAGGTCTTTGGCCACCTAAAAAAATGTCAAACTATGTATCTAGGCAGGGTTGTTTTTGCTTGTAACACATTCACAACTGCTTCCCCAGCATGGGTGGAGACAAACTAAGTTCAACTAACTGAAGACGAAAAAAGTCAACATTTGCTAACAAGGTCCATACATATTAACTTTACTCTGTTGGACTGAATTGAACTGCAAGGTATAAACGTTAATACAGTGATTTTTATTTTGTAAAATATGCTGTAGAGAGACCATATTGTCCTACAGTGCATGTCTGGCTTAGAGGACATTCAACTACAGCTCAACCTGCAAACAAAATACTCCCAACAAGATGTAAAACTTGAAACGTGAGCTCACTGGATGCATTAGCCTCGCATATGATTCCTGCCATCACTATGCTACGGAGACTTTTGTTGAAAGAGGGAGTGAAAGAGCAAAACTATGACTTATACTTTAGCCGTACAGCCGTACAGAGCTCCTTTTTTGCCCACTCTGCTCCACTGCAGCGCTACTCGATCAAAGGTAACCAATGTAGCATAGCTAGCTAATGCACTTCATTTAAAATCAGCTGAATTTTAATGATTTAATTTTTAAGGTACATTGCACCCATTTACACTAACTGCTTAATTCTAAGTATGGTATCAAACTCGGTATTGATGAGTACTAAAAACTATGTACTCGTGTTCTGTCAAAAAAACTGGTATTGACACATTCCTAATAAAGATAATACAAAAATGTCGATTTCAAAAACATTATTGATATCTTGTGAGCGCTGGACCCAGTACTTCATGGTAACTACAAATTCTTGGCTACCTCAAGAAGGGCTTGAAAATACCTAATGATAAAATCACAGTTTACTGTATTTAAGTTTATTTAGATTTATTCTCATGTTTTCTGTATACATAAATAGCTTTAAATATTTTCTCAGGTGCCTTAAAACGGTATACCATACTGTCAGTACTACAGTAGTAATGAAAGTAACTAAGATATTTAGAGGAACAGATACATGATAATCCAGAATTGCATGAACAAAGGGAAGTGAAAGAAAAATAATTGAAAATATGGGAGTTTCCAAAACGAGTTAAAAATGTATTTTTTAAAGATATAGACAAAATGGGAAACCATGCTAGACCTGGTAGACCACCAAAATTGTCAGAAACAATACCTAAAGCTTTCGTCTTTGAGAAATACGAGAAAATCAAGCCTAAAATCTTACCTTACACCTGAAAAATCATCTTTCCACTGTGAGAAGACACGAGTGCTATGGGTCTGGATGTGTAGCTGTCAAGAAGTAAATTGACAGAAAAGATGATCATTTATAAATCAGTCAAAGAAGCTTCTGGTGTTCTCAGAACAATGGAGTCCATCCTGGAGCCCAGAATCATTGAATCGGCATTTCTGAATATGTTTTGAAATTACATGGACTGTGAAAAGCTGAAAATGAAACCAACTTCTAAGACATAACTGTAGACGTGGAAAATTATCCCTGCAGATTTCTTTGAAAAACTGAAAGCAAGTGTGGAAGCTGTAGTAAAGGCAGATTGTGGCACAATAAATACTGAAATGTCTGTTTTTTCCTTCTTTTCCAGCAAAAAAAATCAAATTGTCATTTGGACTGCAAATGAAATAAATGAAAGTGGTCACAAAATTTGTAGAATACTATTCACTTCGCCTTACACTGTGCATGCTGTGTTGTGTTACAGGCAGCAGTGATCCGGAGCGCAGCGCCCTCTCTGGCTCTCAAGAGAAGCTCCTCTGTGAAGGACGGGGCTTAGTGGGTGACTCACCACGGGACTCTGGTTGCTACGAAAGCAATGAAAATCTGGAGAACGGTAACCAGGCGCTAGTTTAGCACCCCCCTAGCAACCACATTCCCCATCTCCAGCCTAGCATAGCAACGCCATGACATCCTCCTCCCATCGGCAGGCCATGCCTCTTTCCTGCCCATGCTTCCGTATCCTAACAGCCAGTGAGACACCGCCATCGCCTCTGGAACAAACCACCATGCTGTCTCTCTGTCCCACCTTCCACAAAAAACCTTTCCTCTTCCTGTCTTTCTGCTGAGTGCATATTCACAACCTCTCCATCTACAGACTGCACTCTTCATCTCTTAGCACTGTATTTTCCTCTCTCTTCCAGTTTTTGACTCAACACTCCAGACTCAGTTAGCCTAGTGGTCTTCCCATGTTCCTCAGGCTTTCCTCTGGATACTGGCCCATAGAGCCACATCCCCTCAGGGCGTGAGTCTGAGCTGCTGAAGGACATGGTAGCACAAGGACAGACAGGCTGGCAGACAGACTTCAGAATGAGCTCATAGACTCACAGATGGAGAGACTTCTAGAAGCTCAGAGCATTTGACTGTACAAAGCTGCACTGTTGCCGATTGTGTCTGCTGCTCCAAGCTTGATCAGGCCTACTTTAAGTTTAAGTTTGAGTGGTGAGAATGTTGATCCAGCTGGGAGTCACAAACCACTTTTTTCTGTCTTTCCCACCCCGTGCCATTGCAGGAGTATTGTGCCATTTGTGTGTGTTAAAAATCCAGTGGCTACATTGCACAAGATCATATGTGCCTAAAACAAAAGAGATTTATGGTGACAGATTTTAAATGGATAGAAATTAGTCTACTTTAACAGTAAGAGATTCTGTACAAAGCAAAGTTGGCGAGGAGTTTTATTAATAAATCTATATGTCAAAGTATTTTGATGCAGGGACTGGACTGCAGGTCCGTAGATTGTGTTGTCCTTCAGTGTTTAACCAATTAACTTAAATACATATATATTTCCTGTCTTTTTAACCCCATTATGGCATCTTATGATATTGACCCAACTTTGTGTGTGTGTGTGTGTGTGTGTGTGTGTGTGTGTGTGTGTCTGTTATGTATGAGAAATCACTTACCCAACTTTGTGTGAGTGTGTGTATGTGTCTGGATGAGAAATGTGTGCAATCTGCTGTAGTGTAAAATAAACAAATGGTGTAAAAGATGTAAATCATTCTTGCCCTTTTCCTTTATTTTGTCTCTCTTTTCTCACTTACTTCTCTTTTCCTGCTCTCTCTAAGGCTACAGTATTAATGCACTGCCAGATGTCAATACCTTAAGCAAGAATTTCACTTAGGGTGCCTTGCAAGGATATACAGTGTTTCAGTTTCAGTCATTTACTGCGCACTGTAATCAGGCTGAGTTTTAGACATTTCATGCGATGTAGCTTTGCTGCTCTTTTTCACCTTCCTTCCACTAATGTGGTCAACATTATTTTCTGTTCTTTCCTCTCTCCCTCTAATACGCCTTTTCTTTCTTTAATTCTCCACATGCCGATCATGTTCTAACACACACTTCATTCTAATGGTCTCAGTGTTATGTTCTGCTCATTTGGTTACAAAATAAACCTCAGTTCATATTAACTCTGTCTGAGTTCATTAACAGTCCATTTCTGTGTCTGTCACTCTACAGCACTACATCTCACTATTAACACTGCGTACATTTTAAACTTTCACACATTATTAGAAGAATGAGTATCCATTTATTGTGCACATGTGTAACCAGTTATCAGAGTTTAGTGTGCTGTCAGCAGTTGTTTCCATCAATGAGTTTTAGTGATAAAAATGCTTTACAGCATGGTGTCATTTGCTGCAAAAAAAAGGTTTGGGTTATCGATTAAAAAATTGTCAACTTGTCTATACATGACATTTCTCTACTATAAGGAAAAACTCTAGCCTTTCTGGTCACCTCTAAAGTGCTGAAAGGTTGCAACAGTCCTTTAAAAACCACTCTCAGCTCCAGCTACATTGCTCCGTCATGCTATGTGTGTTTATCTGCGTTTATTATAAGAGACACACAAGGGAAGTGTCATGACAAAATGTTTCTGCTTAAATGCCTTTTTTTCATAGAACGAAATAAATTTTTGCGTCATTTCAGTTTCCATAGCATGTGTTGACAAACATTTTGAAGTGTTAAAACGTTAAAAGAACAGAGCTATGACTATAACCTATGATTGTTTAGAACAAAAGGTAATTATCTGGTGCTCTGTAAATTCAGCATTAAACTGGCTTATGAACACATTAAATGTAACAAAGTGAGTAGTTACTATATTACAAATTAAACTATACATTATACAAATGTAACCATGTCATTTCAGTGACTATAAAAACAGTACAACACTAAAACTTAAGCTTCAGCATTCTAATAACAGTCTGTAGCAGCTAATTAAAACAATAATACGAAAAAAATAAGTTGGATGTCAAACAATTTGTTTTTAATGGGCAACTTTAAGAAGTTATTTTTGAAGCATCATTGGCAAGTAGAAGAAATGTTGTTACCGTGGGCATCCAGGCTTTGATAGTCTGGTAACGTTTTACTTGTAGTAAGAATCATTAGACACATCCAGAATGGCACACTGCTGTCCTAAAAAACTCATAAAAAACTGTTCACAAATTTGTATAAATTACATTTATGTGACTAGTTCTCTCTCTCTCTAACACACACAAACTATCCACCAAGACATTGAATACATTTTTAACTTTGTGTGCATTTAATATAACCCCATAACATTTCATATCAGTTCACTAACAGCTTTTTGCATGGTTGAGCTTTGATATGCACAGAATTGCCACCACTATTCACCCTAACAGAGTCACTGCAGGTAAAAGTAACTGTGTAGGAATTCATTTGCATTTAAATTATGTGCATGAGTCCAGGTAATTGAGAAGTTAATTTTATCATGACCAAAGGCTATAGTAAATGGTACTGTTTAATGTGATACGCAAGAGTTCATTTTCCATGTTAGACATAAGATCATCTGAAATATGGAAGTGTGAATGTTTGAAAGTAAAGCTTTGTGTTGCAGGTAAGAATCGGAAAACCTCTCGCTCCAGTCGTGGCTTTGAGTCTGGCCGGATCCAGTCTCCAGACTACCCCACCCTCCCCATGACCTGCTCCACCGAGGCACTGCAGCACCAGACCAAGAAGGAACGCAAATTCCCCAAGCATTTTCTCCCCCGGCCCATCAAGGGCTTCAGCCTGCGGGCTTTGGGTCTGAGGAAGAGGTCCCGCATGCCGGCAAGTCGCAGCTGTGAGGAGCTAGACGGGCCACAGGAGACCCCTGAGCAGTGGAAGCGCTCACGGTCTCTGGGGGACCTGCAGTGGGAGCAAGGCTTTGAGCAGAAGAAGGAGCAGCAAGGCAAAGTTCGGCATGGCAGCGTGGAGTTCAACCAGGGGAAAGAGGCAGCAAAGTCTGTGAAAAACCCTCAGGAGGCGAAGGCAGGCGGGATAGAGTTGAAGCCAGAAGCTGAATTTGGGTCTGGCCTGGTGGAAAGGCCTCCTGTGCCCACTCAGCTGCCTCTGAAGCCTACCTGCCCTGTCCAAGGTTCTGAACTCCCAGATGCCCAGTCCATCTCAGCGCCCTACAAGCCCAGCTCCACGGACTCATCCCAAAAAGCCCCCAGTGCCCCCTCCTGTCCCTGCCAAAAAGTCAAAAGAGCGGCTGGTGAATGGCTTACGTCACCCACCTTTGGTCCCGTCAGGCTCCACCCCAAGTACGCCAACTCTGCCTCCTAAACCCGTAAGCTGCCCTACAAGCCCCTCTGAAGGCATCCTGTCCACCCCCGTGTCCCCAGATGATACAGATAGTGCACCAGTCGTGCCTCCACCCTGGCTGTCTGACCTGCCAGAGACTGCCTGCCCACAGATTCATGGGGTCAAGGTGACCCTCGGCAGGAAGATCTCTCACGCCAAAATGGCTGATTTAGAGACACAACTGGATGGCAGGCTAGCGTCAGAAGGCATTGATCTCACAGCAGAGCCCTACTCAGATAAGGTAATAGACTCTGTGTCTCAGTTTGAGCTTTATGTAGTAGTTTCTTACACTATGTGCCATAGACTACATACTTCAGTAAAGGTGTGTAGAGTACTTTTCTAAAAATGACTAGTTTTTTGAGTAGTCAAATAACTATTCAAGTACTGATTAATTTACAAAACGGCAATGGAACATCTACAAACACAGGAACTGAAGTTTATGTGCTACTGTTTCTCTTTTGTCTTAAATAACTGAAAAGCTTGAAACTGAGTTGTGAACAATTGCAAAACTTTCCAGATGTGGTCATCAATATATTATAATACTATTTTTAAAACATTATTATAGAGAGACTAAAATCGTAACTGTGGAAAATGTAGATGCTGGTTGTAGTACATCATTCAAGTAGGAACAGTACATAATAGTGCACCCTGTTTGAGCCGTACTGTCCATTCATATCAGTATCAGTTCTACTAACACTTGAACTGTTGAAGAACTAAAGCAAACCTTCTAACTTGCATTAGGTACTACTGAAGTGCATTTCTTTGGTTCCCTTGGTCCTTTTCAGTGATTCTGAGGGTTTTCCAGGTCACATCTTGGATGGCAGTTTTTAGTGCTGACATTTGAGTGAATCATTGTTTTTCATATTTGTAAAAGTAACTCATGAAAAGCAATGGTCCATGGGAAAAACTGGCGACAGTACACCACGACTAATGTTATGACAGTCATAGATCAATATGTTGATGTACATGTGTGGCAAAAGTTGAATCATCTATAAGGAATGTCAGCTGCCATGGCATACAGGTCTAGTTATTTCAAACACAGTTTTCTTGGCAAAACCACACAGAAACAGGCTAGAGAGAGCATAAGCGATGACTAGAGCTGGATTGCTCTGAAATGTCCCATCACATCATAGCCGCAGAGAAACAATGACTTCTTTACTGTTTATTTCATCTTTGCTCCTTTATTGACGTGCCATAATCACAACTTTGCCCCAAATCAGTCCATTACTCTCTGTTTTCCTTCTTATAGTCAAAACACAGTATCTATACTGCAACATATATAATGCAAAACAAATCATGAATAAAACACAGGTGACAGAGTTATTTATTTAAAACTACTGAGAACTGCCTTCCTTTAGATTTTTGTAGTATTAAATGCTTGGTTTGTCACAGACATAACTATCACATGTCCTGTATCCTTTACCTGTGCCCTGCCAGTAACAGCAGTGAGCTAGCATTGGGAGCTTGTCATGCATGAGCCAAGTCCACAGGGGAAAGTCTGGATGAAAAGAGCATAGCTGTGGTTTTGGCCTGCCTGTAATTTACAATTCTTAGACTGTTGGAGGGGGTGGCCTGGTCTCCTTTCTTAAATACAAGGCTACTGGTTTTAGAGCAGCATGGCTGTTAGGCATATAGAGTGAAGGTGATCTACAAGAACGAAGGGAAACTTTGGTGTGTATACAGTCAGTTCCCTGAGCAGGCCTGGACCTGCAGGGGTTAAAAGCTAATGGCCTGTTGCTAGGGCCTCCATGGGGACATGGTGAGGTCGGAGTGGAGGTGAAAAAATGTCGCCGAGACTGCAGGCGGTGCTTCTGTTTTACATTTAAGAGGAGACAAGCTCATAGCAGTTCATTACTCTTTAATGGCAACCAAACTAATTACGCTGGCACTTGGGGATGACCTTGGCAAAATGAAAAAAATGAAGTTGTTTTGAGTTAAAATTACAGCAGCTCTCTTATTTGTCCTGGAAAAAATGCAGTCAGATGATATCAATCCATTGAAATAAATGCACATGGGTGCAGCTCGAGTCACTGAGGTACTGTACTGGACTTGACTCATCTTTTCCTTAACCTTAGAAAGCGACCTGATTACACTGATGTGCACCATATAATAAGCATGGAATAATGTTTCCATTTAGCGTTTTAGGCACATCTGTGTGGAAGTCATGATTTGTCCATGTCAGATGGTCCAGCAGATACAACAGTCTCAGTCTTTCAGGTTCTCAGCATTCTCACTAGCTTGTGCCCACTGTTACAACTCATTAGGTCACATTATTTGTTTTGTGTTAAAGAAATGATTAAGTCTCACTAGCCTCATAATTCTGTAATTGGCACATAAACTTTTTGCTTGTTTGTGTGTCAGACTTCATCTCCAAGCACTTGTCATACAGGGATGGTTTCTGGTTAACCTTCTAGTCCATTAAAAACCACATGAAGTGAACTTTATGGCTTGCTAATTCTCCCTGTTGTTCAAACTTAAACTAAGAAAACGGCTGTGCTAGTTCATCAGCGCTGCGATAATCCTGTTTACTTTAAAAGAACTTGGCACTGGAACATGAAATGCATTCCGAATCCTGCAAACGATTAGGTCTGATAAGTCTTTCAGGGTCAAAGAGAACCTTTAGGGTCTCCATGGCATTTTTTGTCATTGTAAAGCTAAATATATCCTTTTATTTTCCTTCTAATACCCGTGACTGTTTTGGCTAATCCCTCATTTCTCTCACTTTGTTTTTCTCCAGCATGGCCGCTGTGGTATTCCTCAGGCTTTGGTGCAGAGGTACTCGGAGGACTTCCAGCAGCCAGTGAAGGACGTGGCGTCTATGCTGGACCAGATCAGAGTTAAACATCTCCGCAAGGAGCATCGCATGGCTGTGAGTCACTGATTTATCCAATAACTAAACACACTTCCCTTTACTTTAGTGCATGTGATTCAGTTAAATGGCTCATTGACTCTGCCACGTCAGAAAGACATTCCGCTGTTTCAGCTTGTTCATTTGACGTGCTACAGGCCAGACGTTTGGAAGCAACACTAACTCTGCACAGAACAAAAGGAGCTGACTAAATATCTGCAGTCGATCTTTAATTTGCTTTGTTACTAGTGATTATACAGCAGTTTTATCGTAGCTCTAATCATATTCACAAAATGAAATTAAATTAGTTTGTAAATAATTCACTGTAAAGTCTGAAGTAAATGCTAAGGACCTAGTAAACAAAAATATACAATACTACGTAAGAGTAATTCGTACTTCATTTGTGTACAGTCTTTTTATCATATAACTACCCGGTACTTTTTAATCCAAAATAGTTTTAATACCTAGAACTTAAAGAACTTTTTAAAAATTAAATAAAATTTTAAAAAGTAAAGTCTTTAAGTGTTGGACTTATTTCACGTCCTGGAAACGAGCCCTTGAAGTTAAATTAGGAATTTGTTTTCTTTTTAAGATAGGGCTAGGTATCAAAATTCAATACTTTTATGGCATCGACTAACTTTAATATTAAAAAGTATGGAAAAATTCTATGTCTAATACCAAATTGCAACAGCAATGTAGTCATTCTGCATCTATGAGACAATAAATATGCTTGTTCTCAAATCCATACTGGTGATTGGCTGTCTAAGTTACATTCCATATGCATGTTATTAACATCAGCGCTTCATGAGTATGCAGTCCGTTGAAGTCAGTAAAAATACCCATTCCAGAATCTTACACTAATTTCTTATTTAAGCTACACCTAACTTTTGGCTTATAATTTAAAAAAATCATTAAAAGCAACTTGCTTCCATACTTATGGCCTGTAGCCTAAATTTCAAAAAGTGATTAACCCTAAGTCTGATGTTCTCTCCACAGATTCCCTCAGGAGGTTTGACCGACATGTGTCGGAAACCTATGTCTCCAGTTCATTTGAGCACCGTTTCAGATTGGCTGGTGTCCATTGGAATGCCCATGTATTCTCACCTCCTTTTGGCTGCAGGCTACGACACTCTGAGCCAACTGTCCACTCTAACAGAAGCAGGAGTGCGGGAGGCGGGGCTACAGGAGGAGAGACACATACGCCGGCTGCTCAGTGAGGCCAGACTAGTGACAGCCTACAGTGCAATGCAGTCTTAACATGAGTGCTGTTATGATCCTCATATGAGATGTATTAAGTGATTCATAAACAGCCACAGCTGCAGAACTTAATGACGGAGTTCCAGTGGAAAGCTAAGTGCTTGAGGACAAGGAACGAAACTGTGCTATCTGCAGCGTTCTAAGAAAAAAAAAAAAATCGCCTTCATCTTTCAAGCTTTTATCTCTTGTTTTATTGCCCTCCTTTGCTGTGATTTACAGAAAAGACTTGTGGCTTCCATGAACAGGTATCCATCACCTTTCCATTGAGGTCTTCATTACAGCGTCCAGGAAAAGGTCACAGCCTAGAAAGATTGCCTTTAAAGCGATATAACAACTTTTTCAGACATTTTGAAATTTTGTAAGGACTGTTGAATTTCCCCCTCTTTTTTCTTTGTTTGATAAGCACTTGTTTGTAAGAAAAAATCTTTTGTGCTCCCTTTAGCACAGCATGGTAATGCAGCCTGGCCAAAGTAATTTCACTTCCTACAAGTTCAAATGTTCATATTTCCCTTTTTCAGCTCAAAGATATCAATGCTTTGGTCAAAGGGCACGTCTTCGGTCAGTTGAATCATTGAATGCTCAAGCGCAATGGTGACATATTGCGATATCTATTCCAAGTACATAACTCAGAATTATACTTTATTTCCAGGACAGTAGAGAGAGTATATTTGTATAGTCAATAACAAAGCCATTTGATGAAATTTCTCGCTCAACTTCGGCGCCAAGAGGTTAAGATGTAAAGCATCTTTTGTATTTTCAGTTAGTTTAAGAAAATAATATTGTATATTCAGAGTGCATTTAATCTTCCAGTACACAATATCTAACACACATTATTCAGCATCTATCCTGGGAAATCAGCGTTTATTACTAAATCGATTACATATTCCTTAGTTAATTTGATGTTGCCTTACCACCATTTATGACGCAACTATTCATGCACATGCTTACAACTATTCTACTCACTTTCTGCAATGTAATTAACTTAGGTGATGCATCAAACAGTGATAATATGCTTATATTTGATGTATATTTTTGAAGTCTTAAGTGCTTTGACTGAGAACTCCCCAGCACTGTGGCATAGTTTAAATATTGACGATTTAAACTCTCTAGCCTTGAGCAATGCAAAGCACACAGTCAAAAATGTTCCAAGCAAATCATAAGCTCCCCAGACACAAAACTCACATCCATCATTTCTTCTCTAGTACTTGTTTAAGCATCCCAATGTCTTAATGACAGCGAGAAACCTGTCATGTAAGGAGTTTCTGTTCATTTTAGCCCACTCTTCTACTAACTGTGTGCGTCATGTCCAAGCTGAACACAACACTGACATTCCCACATTCCAGGATAAAGACTACACTGTGTCTGTATGTGAACGCTTCAACAAACATAGTGGAACGCTGAACAGCAAAGTCACCAGACCTCAATCCCAATTCTCAATTTGGTGACGTGCTGAAATGGGCACAAACCCTAAAATGTGCACCCAGTTAGAACTCAAGACTTGTGTAACCCTTACCTGACAGGATTGGTGCTGTTAATGAGGCTAGGGGATTTGTAACCAACCATCTGTAAAGAAATGATGCATCCAACTATGTTTTTGTCTGGTGAGTCTAATTAAAAAGGAATAGAGAAATAACTGACTCACATACAGTAGTATAATAAAGTGATTCAGGCTACTCCACACTCTGTGAGTAAAGGTTCAAGTATTTGATGGAAGCTTAGGGAAATGTTTTTGGGGATGGTAACATACTTCTTTAAATAATCAAGCACAGTTGAGCAGTTCTGGTGTGTTTAGGGGGTGTATGTGTGTGTGTGTGTCTGTCTGTCAGTCTGTCAGCCTGACTGGTTTCTACATTGGGGCTCATGTTAGCTGTTAGTTTCACTCAATAGAGCTCAAGAACAGATGTCAGTCTCTGTGGAGTCATACAGTATTTCTTGCTATGAACACACTCTACGTGTGTGTATGTATGAATGATCTTTGACTAATTCAGTGTCAAAGTGAAATGTATGTTTGGTGGCTGTTGTGCTGTGAGAGAGAGAGCAGGAGCATTTGCGCAAACACACAGCAAAGAAGCACAACTATTATTCTGAGACACACATCTGGCCTTGGGGATGCCCCTCAAAGGAGGAGGGTTTTTTTTCCTTCTTAAAGACTCAGTGATATCAGATGGCTGGGAAACTGAATGTGAAATGTTTAACATCAGCCCACTTTTTCTATGACACCACTTATACGTTTGACATTTTCAATGTTCTTACATCATACAAAAGGAGCTGCTGCATTCCTTTGGCATTCCACTGATCAGTTAAGGAGAAATTGCACTAAAAAATGCATAATTCAATTGTTGAGATGTAAACAAAGTCATTGATTCAGAGTGGTTTGATGTGAAGTGGTGCACTGTAGAGAAAGTACTGACTCAAATTTCTTTACAGTGGTGATAATATGAACCAAGGGTTGTAATCTACAAAGCACATATAGCCATTTTACTTACTATCCAAAAGAACCAGCAAACTTGTATGTGAATTTTTATATGTAATGTTAATGGTTTTTACTTGGGGACCATTTTTGCATGTACCTGTACTCCATGAATGCATTTTTAAAAATAGGTTTTAGGCCAGAGTCTTCTCTCAGAACTATTATACAACAATGTCTGACCTCAAGCAGCGTATTCACAATGACTACATGTAACAACTTCCCGTGAGGGAGAATTTAGAGGTATTAAACACTTCGGACGTCTGGTTCCTATCACCACCACTGTGAACAATTTTGGCTGTTCCTCTAACACAGTGCGTTTTAAGTCAAACTACTCTGAATGACTGTTTACATCTTGACAATCTGATCATGCAAAATTTTAGAAAAATCTGTGGAACTCCAACATCTCCTTGGTTTAAACAGGGGAGAGTGTTATTTGGAGTAAAGCCACAAGTGCACCAGTGTTACTAGGTGCATATGGATGTTTTATTACACTCACTTTGCTGGCCACTACATAAGCAGACAGGAATCATCCACAAAGCCAAGTTTATTGCAGGACTGAAGGGATATGTAGATATCGGTCATGAAACTGAGTCTGCAAAGCTTCTCTCTCACACACACACGCACACAGTAGCACCTTTTATGGGTAAATGGTTTGGCTCAATGCAAGGTTTTGTATCTATGGCAGCACAATATACATTAGGCTCACAATGGCACTCTAATGAAATGTCTTAAACAGCGGCAGAAAATCAGGAGATTTCTCCTCAAAGTGGATGCCTTTTAAGAAAAAAACTCAATCAGAAGGGGGGCGCTCTGGGATTTTGTGGAATTTAAAAAAAAATGTATATACATTTCATGTTACTGTAAAAAATGCACTTTATAGAGAAATACACAAATTAAGGACTTTCCTTTTGGAGAATAAATTAAACAAAGTGGCAAATGTCTAAATTCCATAAACGGGCAGTTATACATGTTCTGTGTGAAGGGGTCAAGAGGTTTATGCTGCTCTCTGACCAGAGTGGTTCTTCTCTGCCAATTCTCAGTTGTATGTCACTGCTCATTAATTAAAGAATTAACCTTTCCAAGCTAATTACTTCAATTAAGTCATTTTTGAAATTTGAATTTCCTAAAAATGAATTCTAATTACATATATGAAATGATAGACAGGTGTTGCACATTCTGTATATGTAATTGATATTTAAATAACTTATTTTTTGCTTTTCGTATCAAACTGTAATTATTAGCTGTACTATATAAAAGAAATAGCAATACTCTTTTACATATTGCTTTAGCCGGTGTCCTGCTACAGTATCTATTGTAAAATATTATGTGTACAAATGATTTTATCTGGTTTCAACTAGCTAATGATTGTCTATAAAGATTTTGCTTGTGTATTGGGGAAAAAAATGTTTAAAACTATTTGTCATTCTGAAGTGTAATAAACAAAATCCTTTGCCTTGGAGGTCTCTCTCTATTTGTCTGTCTCTACCCTCTTGCTTTTGACTGAGTCTGGCTATGGACATATTCAATGGTTTAAGATATAAACATCACTTATGTCAATGAATGAGAAGATCTTTGGATGGAGAGAAAATAGAGAATTTTTGATGCTTTGAGCAGTGAGAAAGATAAAAATATCTACACAAGTGCAGTGGTTGGTATAGTGTCATGGGTAACAAATTTACCCTCTATGCTGAAGACTGGGGTTCATTTCCCCACCAGGCAAACATCCTACCCTATACTAATAAGAGTCCTTGGGCAAGAACTCCTAATACTACCTTCACCTACCTGTGTAATATGATTAAACTGTAAGTCGCTTATAAATGTCAAAGTATCAATGTTTCAGGTTTGATCTACATTAAATAAATAAATAAACAAATAACAGTGATCCACTTCATTAGTTAGAAATCTAAAGGATTTAGAATGATCATCTTTAACCCTCCTGTTGTGTTCGTTTCGGCTAACACTCATAGTGTTCCCGGTCACTTTTGACCGGGATCATTTTATTCCATTATAAATCAACAATGATACATATATTATCACCTAATGTTGTGTTAGATCTTTTATGAACTTCAGCTCTTGTGAACATTCTAAGTTTTGAACATGTATTTGCTGTTTATGTCCTGCAGGCCTCATTTACCTGAGCTCATACCGCTCGTTTTTTTAGGGAAAAAACATTATATACATATTATTTTAACTAAAACGAATACTAAGATGAAACCTGTTGTAGTATGTCACAGAGTACTTCACTGAAATTTTTACCAAAGTCACTTTTTTGAAACCAGTTAAGTTTTCTAAACTGTGGCACAAAATAACAACTTTTGTGTTCCCAGTCAAAACTGACCAGTATGATTTATTTATTGAAAACAAAAGCCTAAATGTACACAGGAAAATTTAAGAGAAATGCTTGAACCATACACTGTATGAACATATTTACAATTGTCTATTGTACTCTGAAAAGATAGATTAGAGTGCCATAATGTTATCCTCATGTTCCTCAGTTTTGTCCTCTCATGAGCATGTGGGGCAATATACTGTGCTCATTGCATGTTCTTTGCATATATATACACACCACATCTGTGGCACACAAAGCTAGTTTTTTTATCTCTTGGTGCACACAGTTGGCACCTCTTTCTTTTGACTCCTCCTTCTCTGGTTGCTGTGGATGTACTTGATATGTGCTTGAACTCTGTTTTATACACTAATTGTAGTCTTATAAATTCATTTCCAATAACCGGTCATTTTTGACTGGAAACACCATGGGTGTGTACAAGTTCCATAAAACACACTAATTTAAAAAAAATATTTCAGATTTATTTTAGGTGTTCAAATACCGTGTGTGAACAAAGTCATGGAACCTCATGACAAACAGATGAAATTTACTACACTTTTTAAAGAGGAAACTTGTGTATCGGTCAGATTTGACTGGAACACAACAGGAGGGTTAAATTCATATAATGGGCTCTGCAGTTAACTGTTGTTGCTTGTGAAGACTGGACTAAAACATCTACATATAATTGGCTTATGAAACGTTAGACTGTCAAGAACCTTACATTGTGTATGAATTGTCTTCAGGGAGAAACTTTATGAACAGAACTGCAGCTACAAAGAGGCTATTAGGATGGGATAATGACTAAATGAATTATTTCACACCTGACAATAACTGAACTGTACAGATGAATATTGACCGACAGATGTGTTCTCTTGCCTGGCTGGGCAACTGGTGGAAAATGTGTGATTTCCAGCTGGTTCACTTTAATTCAGAACGTATAGTGTGGCCTGTGAAATATCAGGTATTACTTTACTGTGTGGGTTGTGATTAAGACATTGGACATGAGGTGCACAATGATAGACTGGTGTTGGCCTACATTCTGAACGTTCATTTTATACAGTTTACCAAAGAAAGAATACAGGCATAGGTTGCATGATCAAATGAGGTGAAGCAGACATATCTGTTTAAACTTTAAAACAGGCCATGTTAACTTCACTAAAATACACCTAAATGTTTATAATTTTTTATAATAATAATTTAAACTGCTTTTATTCTGAAGACTGTTAAGTTTTGCTTTTTTCCTTTACATATGAATAACTGGTGGCAGACTCCAAAACTCCCTTAGGTGGGACAAGCAGTAGTGGGAGTGTGGGCCAATTGGTTTTTGGATGTTATTTTACACATTTAGCCCAAAATTTCTGATAGTTGTCCCCAGATGTGTATTCTTGGTACAAGAACACATCTGGCTACACCAGTGAGAAATTTTGGGCTAAATGTACAATGACCAGCCACTTCATCAAGTGCAATTCCTTGTTTCTACTCATTTTCTCATGTCTATCAGCACAACACACACTAACATGCTACCACCACATCAGTGTCACTACAGCACTGAGAATGATTCACCACCCAAATAATACCTGCTCTGTGGTGGTTGTGACCATTGAAGTACAGCGTAAAAGGGAGCTAACAAATTGTGCAGAGAAACAGATGAACTACAGTCTGTAATTGTTGAACTGTAATGTGTACCTATAAGGTAAAGGGAGCTGAAAAAATAAACAATGAGTGTAAATACAAGGAAGTGGTTTTAATGAAGTGGCTGGTTGGTGTATGTGGGATTGTAAAGTAAGTGAAATTTCTAAACCAATCTAAAGCTCCATAAAGGCAGAGCTCACAGTAGAAGGCAATAGTGCCCTCATTAACATTGCCTAACAGAAAACAAGTCTGTTATTAGCCTCATTATTGTAACCTAAGTTATCATTGCTGAAAGTCCACACAAAAACTTCGATTAAGCATTGATGCATTAAGATGTCTGTCGCATAGGAAGAGAACACATTATATGTGGTAAAATTCAACAAGAATTAAACTGCAACAGAAAAGATTCCTGTTAACCTAAACTATGTATTGGCTTTAGAAGATCTCACAGGGCAAGTAATATGATGAGTGATATCTGTATTTGGCCTCTGTCGCTCACAGTCATGACAGTACAGCTGGAATTAAAGTGATGTGAAAAGAATTAGTAGCTACATTCACGGAAAGACTCTCTGAGCTCTCTGATTTTGTGCATGGAGCGCACCTCTGACAAAACTAAACTGAAGGGCATTTCTGAAACTTTTCAGGAATGATTGGGATAGCATTTCGCTAGCTACCTTGCGTTACTGACTGTACTCCAGACTGGGGTGGACAAAATGGCAAATATCAATATCAATATAAAAATAATATCCATATCAAAATAAGAATAATCAATACTTCAAAACATTTTCTTGATACATGATATCACAATAGTTCATTTTTCTGAGATTTAATAAGGTGGGACATACAAAATTACAAACTGCACTGCACTAAATCCAATTAAACAGGCCTAATTATGCATGTAGTTAGTCAGTGTTACTTTAATACTGACAAAAAGCGTATTGTGACAATTTATCACAATGATAAAATATTGTAATATTGCCCACCTTTACTACAAACATTAAAGGATCTACCAAATCAGTAATGCATATTACAAAGAAAAACATTGCAGAAGTGTATTTTGTGCATGACTGAGAAATGAAGAAGCTGTTTGCTGTTAATGCGGAGGACATCACCTCTATTAAAGGGACTTTCACTGGAAATGTGAACATGGGTATCCAGGTAAAACAGCATTTTAAAAATTATAATAGGCACAAAGCCTGAACATCAGCAGTAAATGCATTTGAGAGCAATATAATCTCCTACTTCTAACACTCACTTCACTGGATAGCAGGCAACAAACCATAAAATGTCAACGATAACTTACCGTCTATTACTTCTCATGTACATTTTGAAGTCCTTCTCTCTTTTACTCCTCTGTGCTTATAAGGATATCTTAATAATGTGATTTAAATTACTGATCCTGATATTTGGTAGTTCCTGCAAAAATTCTTGTGTAGTGCAGTACTGACAGACACCAGTAAATATGGTTACGCAAACAGTGCTTATATCTGAAATTAAACACTACCATCCTGTGCAATAAGCCCATACAGGATCAACAGATTAACAGGTTGTCCCCAGACATGTATTATTGGTATGAGATTACTTCTGCCTAGGGTTGGGCGATATGGCCAAAAATGTTGATACATATTACGATAAATGTCAAATTATTATTTCTTTCAAGTTTGACGGCTCATTATTGCTCCCGAGTAGTCAGTTGCTGTTTTAAACTATGCTTTATGGTCAGAACATGACCATACACTCGCCAAACACTGGAATATTTCACAAATCTGTCATGGGATGGTGGAAGAAAGTTTCTGGTTAGCTGTTTTTACCAGCTGATAAAAGCACGGCCACAATTTTTGTAATATTCATAATTTAAGAAAGAAAACCGTTTATTTATGTCTGTTGACGAGTACTAAACTTTAGTTTCTCAACAATGTCAGCTTAATATAAACAGCAAACATTACCTGATTCAGTACGTCAATGATGGATAACTGCTACCACATCCATATCAGAGCATATCTCTCGCATCAGACAAAGAGTCTTCCTTTTAGTTACATTTAAAGAGGAAATCTATGCTTTTTTTGTCTTGTTTCATCCACAGTAACATCAATTCGCCCGTGCTGTGTGCGTGACAGAGCGCTGCTTCAAGTTAGCCAGCTGCTAAAAACTAGTATTCTCCTGCTCTCCAATGCCTCACACACACAGCATTTTCAGTTTACTTTCGTTTCAGTGCAGTGCTCTTTCACTTTCATTGTTTGGGAATATATTTCGAGACTCATTTCACTGCATGTAATCATGTCAAAAAACTGTGAAGTGTGCCCTCTCATGGCGACAACATAGTAGTGTAGCTTTCATTGCAGTAGAAAATGCTGCAAGGGCTGTCGCTAGAACGTGGAAGTGTGAGAATGCTCTATTAGATTGAACATTTATCGAACATTTCTTATATTACTATAGAGGAAAGTTATATTGCGATAATTACCGTTATCATTTCATCGCCCAGCCCTACTTCTGCCTATGCA